TGTAGTCAGCCCTCTGTTATGCTTGCAGAAAGTAGACAGACAGAAGGGAAAAGGGGAAGGAGGAAGAAATCAAAGAGAAAAGGAAGGAGAAAAGCAAGATCAGTGCACATCATTAGGAAATTATCTTATAAATTCAAAATACTATTTGCAAGCCCCAAAAAGAATTTTGCTTTTTTTGTTTCACACCCCTGGCCTGAACCTGGAGGACCAAATATTCTAAGTGATTTTTGAAGTTCCCTAGATGGGTGCGTTGAAGTGGACATGGTGATTTCTTCCTTTCTGAGAACAGAAATTTTATAGAAAAAAAAAAAAGTACTCAAGAGTAATAGACGTAGTAAGGGAACGTTTTGTAATAGGCTATCTTATGTTTGTACTTTGTATTTACTGTTGGGAAGTTAGATTCCACTAAAAAAAGATGTACTTGAGTGCCTCCCATGTGCGAGGTGTTTGCTGGCACTGAAAATAGATAAGATGGATCTGATTTCAGCTCTTGTTATTTCCGACATTACAATTTGTTTTCTTGTGGAACACCGAGACAATATAATAAATTGCAGCCCTCCTCCTGATTTCACTTGTTTCTATTTTATTCTCATGGAAAAGTTACTCACTTGCCTCTTTACTGTTGCCAGAACTTTCAAATATTTAGGAAGCTCTGTTCTTTCTCTCCAGAAAACTTTAATTCTTGGAGGAAACAGATGAAATATAACATGTATCTTTATTTTGTGTACTATTTGGGCCCCAATCATTCGGAACTGCTGGACATTTGGACGTAGGCTGGACTGAAGTTCAACTTTATTTCATCTTTGATCAAAGAGGTTACTAAATAAAATAATACTTTAGAGAGAGATTTACATTTTTCAAGGAAAACACTTTTTAAAACTGAGTCACATGTTTAAAGCAAATAATTTCTGTTAAGGACATGCTGTTCTAACTATTTATAAAAGCAGATCATGATGGATCGCAACTTAAGAGCACTTTGTGAAGCACTTACTGTGCTCCTGTTCCTTTTTCCCAGAAAAATAAATGTTTTTCTGTAAAAAATACATTTTTCTCAGGTTTTCTTATTTATTCGTTCGTTTATGCACTCATCATTCAACAAATATATATATATTTTCATTAAATCATAGCTGTGTACATTAATGCAATCATGGGGTACAATGTGCTGCTTTTATATACCATCTGAAATGCTTTCATCAAACTGGCAACACAGCCTTCACAGCATTTTCTTAGTTATTGTGTTAAGACATTTATATTCTACACCTAGTAATATACATGTACCCTTGGAAGATGTGTAAAAACTATTTTTAATATATAACTCAGACACATAGTCTTCTTGGCTCACTGAATTCTTGAAGTGTGATTGTGAACACAAATGACAAGAATATATCAATCCTCTATCTACTTACGGGGTTGCAGGGGGACAGCAGTTAGTGGAAGAGAGGATTACAAGACATTGTGTAATTTCTAGGTAGAAATAGGAACAGTCTTTGCTGTATACATGTTGCACTCCGAAGAAAGTTTATCCTTCTAGTCTGCTGCTGTGCCAACTTTGTTTGTGATAGGCAGAGAACTTTCTTCTTTATGAGACACTATTTCTTGGAGGTAAATTTATATTTTCCTGCATGTGTTTTAAATGTGGACTTGCAGGTTATAGCCTGAGTTTTCTTACATACTTGGATACATGATTAATTCTGCAAATCACAAACATGTTTGATTTGGCTTTTTGAATCTGTAGTTCTGAGACTGACTATGCCCTTCCTAATTTGGAAATATTTTCTTTCTGATTTTTATTTTGACATGTACTTTTGACTATCTACTTTTGCTGCTATTTCTAGCATCCCAAGGGCGCTGCTTCCACGGTTGTCATGGCGCAGAGAAACACACAAGAAAACCAAGAACTCAGTGCTTTCATAAAGCATTTATTTTTATTTGAAAACATTATACAGGCATTACATTGCCACAGCCAGTCCATAGGGGAGCATGCAAATATCAAAAATGGACAGTTTGTTCAACGCATCGGTGTCAATTTCCTTTTTGGTTCATATTTTCCATTTCCAGTGTCAGGATTAGTGTGCTTTGTTATGTGGCTTAACAATAGAATCCTACCCATGGGGTAAAATCTGTACTGGTAGCTAGCTGGGGACTACTAAATGGTTATAAATCAAAACCAAACCCAAAACAAACAATACTACACGCTTGTCAAAAAGGTTAATAGCACAAGTTAGCAATATCTAAACTAAACATTGAAACATTTTCATGGGACACAGTGGTGCAAATTTTCCCATTGCTTGGTCTACCTGGTTGCGTATTTTAAGAGTTTGAAGCTGGGGAAAGGTCTGACCTAGGCAAGCTCTGGCCCCAGTGCAAGTTTTTATTGAGGAAGTGAAAACCACCACCTGTCTTTAGCAGGATATAGGAGAACTGTGGTTTGCTCGTACCCAATCAAATTCTACACAAATTACTAAAGTCACAATTGTTGAGGAGAGATTGGTGGTGGATTGAAGAGCTGAAATTTTTGCTGGTGTCTCCTGGAGGTTATGAAATCTCAGAAACTAAAACAGCTAGAGTTAATGTTGTCCTACTCCCATTTCCCTCCCCATTCCCAAAGGATCAATGTTTTTTACATAGAAAAAGAATTTATTCTTTGCTTTTTTTTTTTTTTTCCTGAAGGGTCAGTCTGAACTCCTGATCTTGAACAACTCAATATATTATCAACCTTTCTAAATGGAGACAAACCAACACAGTGAGGTCACCCAGTGACATGAATATTTGAGTACAAGGACACTGAATGATGAGGGGTATACAGTGAATTCATCTTAACATTCACACTTGGTTTCCATACAATGGAGTCAATTAAAATATTCTATAAAATAATTCAGATGGCAACCTTTAGCCATCTGTTGATAGCAAACCTTTTGGAAATTCAAATTTGTAAAAAATTCCCAGTCTACTGAGTGAACTTAGAAATAGTTTCATCCACTTGCTTCTCATAAGACTTTACTAAATGTCTACAAATTAATGTCATAAAAATGAATCAAAAAGACGAAAACATTTGGCTTAAAATAAATACTAAAAATGCAATAAATCAAGCAAATTATGCAAACCAAAGGAATGTAAACACAAAAATAAAAACCACAGTCTTTAAAGGTCTTCAGATCTGAATGGACATAATAGTGAGAGAAAGGTATTTAACTGGTCTGAAAGGTAGCAGAGAGCAGACGTTCGCAAAGTCATTTTGATTGGATACACATAGCGCTTTGACATTGATTCTCCCCCTCCCACAGAAAATGAAATACTAGTAAGGGCTGAACTGAGATGATCATCAAATATGACTATCAGAGAAGATAACTTTTCTTCCCCAACTCTATGGGCAGGACCACCCCTCCCTCCCCCAAGGCCACAAGACTACTGACATACAGCATGGGAGGCTTTTCCCTGCCAGACTTAGGCCTTGTTCAGGCACTCTGGGGATTCTCACTATAATCTGTCCTTCTGCTTTTAAGAGACCCTCTTGGTGTTTTGCTTTGCTTTCTTGCTTCAGATACAGTGATTTGAATTGCCCATCATTTCACAACCATTTATTTTGCCTTTAGAAACCCTGTCATTCCATCAAGGATCTTTTTGAATGGTACTGCAGTCAGCTAAACTTAAAGAGAACTTTGCACACTGACACACAGAATCTATTCTACATTATAGAGGTGTGTGGTGTTTCTTAATTTCCTGTGTTTGGAAAAAAGGGGCTGTTTTAAGGGCATTAGATTAGCGACATATCACTCAAAGAATGACGGGGATCCGGTAATATTCTCTGTATCCATAAGAATGTTGTGTCAATATATTCTGCTATTGAATGGATGGCAAATATGACCAAAATGCCATACTTTTCCAATGGTGACATCTTTACTCCTATAAAGTGACCAGATCACTTGAGATATTTTCAAAGACTGCTCCATATCAGCACTTTGACTTTGCTAGGAGGTGGCATAACCAATGATACTCCACAAAAAAAAAAAAAAAAAAAAAAAAGATAACTTCCATGCTGGTATATTTCAAAAAAGCTGTCCTATAATTAAGGGCAGAGGACCATGGCTTTTTCCAATGCCTTGGTTAATTTCTATATTATCACTAAGTAAATCTAGAGAAAAAAAGGAGAATTAAAAAGTAGTTCTTGAAGAAAGGACATAGGGACAAGCAGCAAGATTTTAAAAATATATATTGACCTAAACACAAATGATATTATTTCTGGGTTTTCCCATAAGCCACAGAAATAGAACAGTCCTTGTCCTGTTTCCACAGGAACTTGTTAGCAGAATCTCATGGCACAACAGAAAGGCAATGGCCTGGAGTGATCAGAGATTGAAATATAAAAAGACTAAGATGTTTGTTTTATATCTATTCCTAGAATAGAGAATTATATGGTCAGTTGCCCCTCCCCACTAGGGTCATAGCACAAAATACTTATTAAGCAGGCAATCCAACAGGTGACAGAGGAAACCATTAGCCACTGGTCCCTAGGATAAGGAGACTTCTCAGGGGTGGAGCTCCTGTGGCATGCATCACTCGTATAGTCTGTGCAAAAAAATAAAATATGATTCTTTAAAAAGTGGCTTGCTGTAGAAAAGTGGGCTTTGTATTGACTACGTGTGGGTCTGGCAATAGTTCCTATCAGGAGTACAAAACACCCTCCTGAAAGTTGGTGTAATAACAATAATAATACAAATAATAATACTTGATTTTGATTCAAAAATTTTCACAGTAATTAATGCAGGGGGTGTGTGGTCAGGATACACACTAACTAGACATCTTTCCAAGTTGGGCGGGTTGGAGCCTGTGTCTCCAGTGATGTTAAGCTTGATCTGTCCACAGGCTTTTGGAGGCTTTGCTACCTTGCAGTCCACCTGGGTGAACTGCACCTCGTAAATACCTTTCTCTATGTACAATACAGAGATGATGGGCGGACACACGGCCAGTGAGCTGGCCTCAGAGGGCAGGCAGGCCTCATGCTAGGCCACACGAACATGGGGCTCCTCTTCCGTCTCCTGGCCCAGGCTGGTATAGGTGACTGAGGGCTCCACCTGAGCTGTGGTCGGCAAGTCCACGGCAGGTCCCGAGGGGTTGCGGAACTGCTTGTACACGCGGGGGTCCTGGGCTATGTAGGTGGAGGTGGAGGAGTAGAGCACCAGCCCGATGAGGATGGTGAAGAAGGACAGGAGATAAAGTCCTGAAAACTAAAAGAGACACAACAGCAAAGTCATTCTGCAGCCGCAGCAGAACCATGGACACATTCCTGAGCCACAGAGATGGGGCAGGCAGCCTGGGCATCAGCCAGTGCCAATCTGTGATGGAAAGTGAACTTTCCCTTCCTAAACTGGCATGGTCTCACTGACTCCTCTTATCTTTTTGCCAGACTCTGTGGCTGACACAGAGGAATAATTAGCTGATTGCGCCAATCTGATGACCTGGTAAGGTGGAAGAGCTAGTTAGGCAGCAGTTAAAATGCATCCAGTTAAAAGCAAAAAACCTCCAATAGCACTCAATAAAGAGCCAGTTGTTTGTGGCTTCATTAAACCCAGAAGAGATAAAGATATCCTGTGTAAGGTGGTAATGGGGCCATAAAGAACGAGCCTCTCGCTGACAGCTGTGTCAGGGCACTCTCGTGTCACCTTAATCCAATTCAGACCCTATTTGTCTTCCTAGTAGGGATGGTTATTGAGTTTGGTAACTATCTTTGCAAGATTAGATTATCCTTGGAGAGAAAGAAATAGTATAGCATCCCATTCCTGCCCCACTCATCTATAAAGGAAACCAAACAGGGCTGTATGTACAGCATTCTGCTTCCAAATCTACATGCTTGGCAGCTCTCAGGGTTTGGGGGAAGAGGGAGAGAAAATGTCAGTTTATATAAGTTCTAAAAACTGACATATGTTTTTGGAAAATTATAACTTCTGGACTTTCTTCAGAAGTTACACTGAAAGCATTGTGTTGCTAATGGTATCATTCCTTTCATTCCTTTAGCCTGTGTTTGTGTGTCTTCTCTATATCAAACACTGAACCATGTACTGGGGAAAGATAAATGAAAAATATGGCTAGTTCCCACCATCACAACCAACCATCAAGGACTTAATTGACTCAGTGGAGAGACAGAGAGAGGCACATACATACAGAAACTAAACAATGCACTATGGTCTTCCAGGTCTCCTTTCAGTCCAGAGCAGCATAGCGGTCTTACCCACATCCTGCATCCATGGGGATAAAGGGACTGATTTTGTTTTCCTAATTTACTTTTTATGCTCATACCTTGAAGAACTAAAAACTGGTAGAAAGGCAAAAATTGAATGGAAGCTGAAGGAAGAGGAAAACAGCCCAGGATCCTGTGAAGTAAGTTATAGGGCTAGAATAAAAAGCTATTAAAAAATGGCTATGCCTGATAGTTCGATAATAGAAAAGGTAGTTTTGAAAATGGCTCATTGACAACAGAAAGGTTACCCTGTGGCTAAAAGGCTCCTCCCTCCCTCTTTTCCTTCCTTCCACTGCCTTCCTTCCCTCTCTTTCCTTTCTTTCTGCATCAGCCAGGTAAGTAAAAACTGAAAATGATTTTCTGATTTTCTTTCGAGAGTACTATTCACCCTGTCTCTCAATCCCCTTATTTTTCACCTTCAAACCAAATTGTAACACTGTCTCAGATGGATTTGTGTGCTAGACTCAGCTTGTAACTGCTTCACTTAATTAACTTGACATACTTAATTCAGTTTCCCCACTTAAGTTTATTAGGTATGAAATGTTTGATTTCCTTAAGTACTAAGTTTGACAGTTGGTATCTCTGACATTTCACTCAATACTTCTTGTTTGATTTTGATTATGAAGGTACATCCTCATTCTTTTAAATGCACACTTTAGCTTATGGTTAGCTTTCAAAAAATTTTTAGAGCAATTTTTGTAAAACTGTGGATATGAATTCCATTGTGAAACCCGTGCAGCACAGACAGCTCAAAATACCAATGAAGTGTTTAGGAAGGATGTGGCCAATGAAAGCACAGTATGTTGATGGTTTGAGAATTTCCATTCTGGTGATTTTTAGTCTTGAAATTGAGCCACATGGGTGACCTGAGACCAAAGGGAATAATGATGAACTGAAAGCTGCAGCAGAAGCGAATCCATCTCAACTTATGCATGAATTAGCAGCAAGGTTTGACATTACTATTCCAGCTCTGGAATTAAGTTAATGGCAGAAACGGAATGGTCTCAAAGCTTGCCTTTCTTTGCTGTCACAACATAGAGGTGAACCATTTCTACACTGTATTTTTGGGTGTGATGAAAAATTCTTTTTGACAATCACAAGCATATAGCACTATGGTTGGCTAAAAGATGAAGTGCTGAAATGCAGTCCCAAACTGAATATTCAGAAGGGGCAGAGTCAAGATGGCAGACTGCAGACAGCTTCCCACAGAAGCTCTCGTCTAGAAGGAGACTTAAAGAACAGAAGTTTAGCAAGTAAGCTAATGGTTTGGAGCTAAGCCAAAATAGAAGAATGAAGAATGCACAACTTTGTTGAGGCAAGCTGCAACCCCCAAAATACAATCAAAAGGTACAAAATCTACCACCAGAGGCGGTGGAGTCCTCTGCTCTGAGAGCCGCGCAAGCCATGGTCAGGAGCAGAGGAGTCCACTGCTTTGGGTGTGCCCATAATTGCTTGCTAGAGCCACCTGCACCCTGTAGGGGATGGTGCAGGAATCCCCGACTCTGGGCAGGCCCAGAACTGCTTGCAGACCCACGTAGACCCCTTGGGGAAGCAGTGGAGGAGTCCCCCACTCCAGCCAGGCCCAGAACTGCTTGTTAGAGCCACACATGCCCCGCGGGGGGTGGCAGAGGAGTCCCCCAACTCTGGGAAGGCCCAGAACTGCTTGCTAGAGCTGTGCATGTCCCACAGGCAGCTGCGGAGGAGTCCTCTATACTGCGCAGGCCCAGAATTACTTGCTAGAGCCACGTGTGCCCCGTGGAGGCCAGCAGAGGGTACCCAGAACTGCTTGCTAGTGCGTGTGTGCTCTGCAGGTGGTGGTGGAGGAGCCCTCTGCACCAGGTGGGCCCAGAACTACTTGTTAGAGCCATGCGCACCAGTGGGCAGTGGCGGAAGAGTACCCTGCTCTGGGCAGGCCCAGAACTGCTTGCTAGAGCTGCCCATGTCCTGCGGACAGCTGCGGAGGAGTCCTCCTATTCTGGGCAGGCCAAGAACTGCTTGCTAGAGCTGCACAAGACCTGCGGGGGGTGGGGGGTGGCGGAGGAGTCCCATGCTCCGGGAAGGCCCAGAACTGTTTGCTACAGCTGCATGTGTCCCATGGGCAGCAGCAGAGGCGTTCCTTGCTCCAGGCTCTCACACTGGGTGGGCCCAGAACTGCTTGCTAGAGCCACGTGCGCCCTGTGGGGGCCAGTGGAGGAGTATCCCTCATTCCAGGTGGGCCCAGAACTTCTTGCTAGAGCTGTGCGTCCTGCAGGTAGCGGCGGAGGCATTCCCCATTCCAGGCACCCACGCTGGGCAGGCCCAGAATTGCCAAAGCTCTATGCTCCCAGCATCCCTGGCCAGCTGCCCAAGAACTGTGAGAGGATAGTCAGTTGAGCAGGAATCATACTAGAACAGCAGTACCCCAAGGCGAAGACCAGCAGCCACAGCAGTGGGAACAACATGGCTCACATCCCTCAGGCTCTTCCGGACAGACATGCTCTGCCTCTCTGGGCAACCAGAGGAAGCTGGCATCTTCTCCAGTGGAGGCCACTGACTGAAAGGTTCTGGTACAGTCCCCACACAGTGTAAATCCAGCATGGGATGAAATCAGTGAAAAAACTCTGGTAATTCGAACAACTAGAGTAGATCAATTTCCCCAAGGAAGGATGGGGCAGATGCAATTAAAGATCCCATCCATAAACAGATAGCTAAGATATCAGAAATTGAGTTCAGAATTTGGATAGCAAATAAGATTAACAGAATGGAAGAGAGGAGGGAATTAGAATTTCAAGAAATGATTCAAAAGATGTATCAAGAAATTATTCAAAAGATGTCTCAAGAATTCAATGATTTCAAAGATAAAATGACCAAAGATCTTGAAACACTGAGGCAAGAGGTTGAAAGATCTCAAAGATCTGAAAGACCTCAAAGACCTCAAAGATCTGAAAAGTATGGTAGAATCCCTTGGTAACAGAATGGAGCAGACAGAAGAAAGGATCTCTGACATTGAAGACAAAGTTTCTGAATGTTCCAAGCATGCAAGGATGAAGAGAAATGGAAAGCAAAAACGGATTACTCTATCAGAGAGCTCTGGGATAATTAGAAGGAAACTAATATTCGTCTTATAGGATCCTATCCCTGAAAACGATGAAGTGGTTTCACAAAGCACAGAGGCTCTACTTCATGAAATTATGAAAGAGAACTTTCCAGACATGCCAAGAGATTCTGAAATTCAGATAGCAGACAGTTTCAGAACCCCAGCATTACTCAACCAGAATAAGACATCCCCCAGGCATATCATAATTAACTTCACTAAAGTTAATATGAAAGAGAAAATTCTGAAAGCAGCTAGATGTAAGAAAACCATAACCTACAAGGGGAAGAATATTAGAATTACTGCAGATCTCTCTGCTGAAACCTTTCAGGCTAGAAGAGGGTAGTCATCAACTTTTAATCTCCTAAAACAAAATAACTGTCAACCCAGGATCCTATATCCAGCTAAACTGAGTTTCATCTATGATGGAGAAACTAAATACTTTAATGACATTCACACATTGAAGAAATTTGCTATGAGTAAACCAGCCCTTCAGGATATTCTCAAACCTATCCTGCATAAAGACCAGTGCAATCCTCCACCACATAAGTAAACTCACACAGAAAATTTTGATCAAACTCCAATTTCCAGAGTGGCGAAAGGATTAAAGATATCCACTAGACTTTCAAAAAACTTGATACCCAAAATTATACCAAGTTTATCAATATTCTCAATCAATGTGAATGGCTTAAATTGCCCTCCAAAGAGGCACAGGCTGGCTGACTGGAAACAAAAACTCAGGCCAGATATCTGTTGCATTCAAGAATCCCATCTTACCCTAAAAGACAAATATAGACTCAGGGTGAAGGGATGGTCCTTTATGTATATTCCAGACAAATGAAAAGCAGAAAAAAACAGGTGTTGCAATTTTATTTGCAGATATAATAGGCTTCAAACCAACAAAAGTAATCAAGGAT